TGTGGGTGTACATAGCTATAGGGAAAAAAGATCCTTCATAGCATCCTCAGTAAAATGCTTAGCTCCTCCCTTTGCACCTGCAGAAAAAAAAAAAAAAATTCTGGAGCCGCCACTGTGCAGCAGCATGATAATGCACAGGTTAAATTACAAGTTTTCATGTCATTACTCTTTAACAACTAAGAAAAATCAAATGTATTTTGCTACACACAAATATTAATGTAGTTGTTATTTGCTTGACTTCTTGCCCATTTCAAACCAGCAGTGAGGCTGTCTTCTCTGTAACTGCCCACTACAGCCAAATCAGAGAAAACTATTACGACTGGCTCAAGGTCACTGAAGGCGACCCAGAAGACGGAGACAGCCAGGTTCAAGTACTCTGCGCTCCAAATTAACAAATCAGCAGCACCTGTAAAGGGGAGGAGCAAAAAGACAGACAAGACCTGCAACCCAGGCCCACAAGGCCCAGGGCCGTAACAACTCATACATAAGTACAGTTTTCTTTTTAAAATGTACACAAAATAGTTAATAATGGCAACCTAAAACATGCATTAGACATGTTTCTAAATTACTAAATATGTAATAATGTAAATGTATCTTACCTGAGAATCTCCAGTTCACAGTCTGGACTCATCAGTCCACTGCACAGCAGCTTCACTCCTGAATCTTTCAGGTCGTTGTTACTCAGGTCCAGATCTCTGAGACTAGATGTTGTTGAGCTGAGCAACGAGGACAGAGCTTCACAGCTTCTCTCTGAGAGGTTACACCCACTCAGTCTGAGAGGACAGAAGGGGTACAAAGTAATTGTCTCATTATTATTATTATTATTATTAGGCATTTTTATAAAACCAACTACATCTGTACTTACACAGCTTTGTTAGAGACTTTGACTATTGGCAGCAGCTTCAGAAAAGCTTCATCTGAAGCAGAGTATTTCTTCAGGTCAAATGTTTCCAGACCTTCATCTGATGAAAATAGCATGAAGTGCAGAGCTGACCACTGAGCAGGAGACAGCTGGTGAGCTGAAAGACTTCCTGTTTGTAGAGATTGTTGGATTTCCTCCACCAGAGACTGATCATTTAGTTCATTCAGGCAGTGGAACAGATTGATGCTTTTCTCAATACATGGATTATTATTCATCTTCTCCTTGATGTACTGGGCTGTGTCTTTATTAGTTGCTAAACTTTCTTCTGTCTGTTTCACAAGGCCTCTTAGGTGGTGCTTATTGGTCTCAAGTGAAAGACCAAGTAGGAAGCGGAGGAACAAGTCCAGGTGTCCATCTGGACTCTCTAGGGCCATGTCCACAGCACTCTGGTAGATATCTGTCTCTGAAGAAGCATGGTTCTGTTTTTCTAAATCCTTTGATTTTGTTTCACCTTTTGCCAGCAGATTGACTCCAGAGTTGATGAAGGTCAGATGAACATGAAGAGCAGCCAGAAACTCCTGAACACTCAGGTGGATGAAGCAGAACACCTTGTCCTGGTACAGCCCTCTCTCTTCTCTGAAGATCTGTGTGAAAACTCCTGAACACACTGAAGCTGCTCTGATATCGATGCCACACTCTGCCAGGTCTGATTCATAGAAGATCAGGTTTCTTTTCATCAGCTGATCAAAAGCCAGTTTTCCCAGAGACTCGATCATCTTCCTGCTCTCTGGACTCCAGATTGAATCTGTCTCAGCTCCTCCATCGTACTTGATGACCTTCAGTTTGGTCTGAACCACCAGGAAGTGGATGTACATCTCAGTCAGGGTCTTTGGCAGATCTTCTCCATCTTTCTTGTTCAACATGTCTTCCACAACTGTAGCAGTGATCCAGCAGAAGATTGGGATGTGGCACATGATGTGGAGGCTTCTGGATTTCTTTATGTGGGAGATTACCATTCTGGCCTGCTTCTTATATCTAAACCTTTTAGTGAAGTACTCGTCTTTCTGTGGGTCAGTGAATCCTCTGATCTCTGTCATCATGCCAACAAACTCAGCAGGGATCCGATTGGCTGCTGCAGGTCTTGTGGTTATCCAGAGGTGAGCTTTGGGAAGCAGGTTCCCTCTGATGAGGTTTGTCAGAAGAACATCCACTGAGGTGGACTTTNATTTAAATGGATCTCACCTGAGAATCTCCAGTTCACAGTCTGGACTCATCAGTCCACTGCACAGCAGCTTCACTCCTGAATCTTTCAGGTCGTTGTTACTCAGGTCCAGATCTCTGAGACTAGATGTTGTTGAGCTGAGCAACGAGGACAGAGCTTCACAGCTTCTCTCTGAGAGGTTACACCCACTCAGTCTGAGAGGACAGAAGGGGTACAAAGTGATTGTAATAATAATAATAATAATAATAGGCATTTTTATAAAGTTGACTACATCTGTACTTACATAGCTTTGCTGGAGGCTTTGACTATTGGCAGCAGCTTCAGAAAAGCTTCATCTGAAGCAGAGTATTTCTTCAGGTCAAATGTTTCCAGACCTTTGTCTGATGACATTAGGATGAAGAGCAGAGCTGACCACTGAGCAGGAGACAGCTGCTGTGCTGAAAGACTTCCTGTTTGTAGAGATTGTTGGATTTCCTCCACCAGAGACTGATCATTTAGTTCATTCAGGCAGTGGAACAGATTGATGCTTCTCTCAATACATTGGTCGTTATTCAACTTCTCCTTGATGTACTGGGCTGTGTCTTTATTAGTTGCTAAACTTTCTTCTGTCTGTGTCAAAAGGCCTCCTAAGCGATGCTTATTGGTCTCCAGTGAAAGACCAAGTAGGAAGCGGAGGAACAAGTCCAGGTGTCCATCTGGACTCTCTAGGGCCATGTCCACAGCACTCTGGTACATCTCTATCTCTGACGATCCATGGCTTCTTGTTTCCAATTCCTTGGATTTTGTTTCACCTCTTGCCAGCAGATTGACTCCAGATTTGATGAAGGTCAGATGAACATGAAGAGCAGCCAGAAACTCCTGAACACTCAGGTGGACGAAGCAGAACACCTTGTCCTGGTACAGCCCTCTCTCTTCTCTGAAGATCTGTGTGAAAACTCCTGAACACACTGAAGCTGCTCTGATATCGATGCCACACTCTGCCAGGTCTGATTCATAGAAGATCAGGTTTCTTTTCATCAGCTGATCAAAAGCCAGTTTTCCCAGAGACTCGATCATCTTCTGGTTCTCTGGACTCCAGTGTGAATCTGTCTCAGTTCCTCCATCGTACTTGATGACCTTCAGTTTGGTCTGAACCACCAGGAAGTGGATGTACATCTCAGTCAGGGTCTTTGGCAGATCTTCTCCATCTTTCTTTTTCAACATGTCTTCCACAACTGTAGCAGTGATCCAGCAGAAGATTGGGATGTGGCACATGATGTGGAGGCTTCTGGATTTCTTTATGTGGGAGATTACCATTCTGGCCTGCTCCTTATATCTAAACCTTTTAGTGAAGTACTCGTCTTTCTGTGGGTCAGTGAATCCTCTGATCTCTGTCATCATGCCAACAAACTCAGCAGGGATCCGATTGGCTGCTGCAGGTCTTGTGGTTATCCAGAGGTGAGCTTTGGGAAGCAGGTTCCCTCTGATGAGGTTTGTCAGAAGAACATCCACTGAGGTGGACTTTGTTACATCTGTCAGGATCTCATTGTTGTGGAAGTCCAGTGGAAGTCGACTCTCATCCAAGCCATCAAAGATGAACACAACCTTTAACTCTTCAAACCTGGAGATTCCTCTGGTTTCACTAAAAAAGTGGTGAACAAGCTCCACCAAGCTGAACTGTTCATCTTTTAACAGATTCAGTTCTCTGAATGTGAATGGAAACATGAACTGGATGTCCTGGTTGGTTTGGTCTTCTGCCCAGTCCAGAGTGAACTTCTGAGTCAGGACTGTTTTCCCAATGCCAGCCACTCCCTTTGTCATCACTGTTCTGATTGGTTCATCTCTTCCAGGTGAGGGTTTAAATATGTCTTCATGTCTAATTGCTGTTTCTGGTCTGTCTGGTTTCCAGGACACTGATTCAATCTGTCTGACCTCATGTTCATTATTGACCTCTCCAGATCCTCCCTCTGTGATGTAGAGCTCTGTGTAGATCTGATTCAGAAAGGTTTGATTTCCTGATTTAGTGATTCCTTCAAACACACACTGGAACTTGTTCTTCATGTTAGACTTTAGTGTTTGTTGGCATGTGATGAGTGATTCTATGAAACAAAAATAGAAAAAAAATTAATTTAAGAGTGATTTTGTCATGTTTCTGTGGGGGACTGAAACACAAAGAGCAACTGGAAATGAGTTTTGAAATTTTAATATGGAAGTAAAAAACAACTTACATTTCATCAGAGGCACTATATAAACTATATTGCCAAAAATATTTGCTCACCCATCCAAATTATTTGAGTCAGGTGTTCTGATCACTTCCATGGTCACAAGTGTATAAAATGAAGCACGTAGGCATGCAGACCGATTTACAAACATTTGTGAATGAATGGNAGGCTGTCTTCCACTACAGCCAAGTCAGAGAAAACTCAGAGGTAATTGAGCATAGTTTTTAATTTAAAGGATTCATAAAATAATTCATAATAACAAAATGAAAACCTGTTTTACAGAGCATTATTAGGGACAAAATTAAGACTTGTGACAAGCTGTCACATCTATTCACAAGCCGTCTACTAATCTGAACAATAATGGGCCAGTACTGGTAACTGAGAGATTGGTGCTGGAAAATGAAAAAGAGAGGAGAGGCTGGTGACTAACATGCTTAGGTTGGCAATCCACTGCATTACCTACTTCCTCTCCTGTCCATTACTACAGACAGGTTAGCAATACAACTGAAGAGGCTAACAATCATCACGTCTTGGCCGGTCATGTGCTTTATTAGAAATATACTTTTTTCTTTGAAGACAACTTTAGGAAAAATATATAGAATATATAGGTCAGAATATATAAAATAAGCTTGTGATTTGTGGGGTCTGTATTTAAACATTTCACAAATCAGCAGCTGCAATCAGATGCCAACTTCAGTGGTGTTGCCTATAATACAGTATTCTGTACTTATGTATATGCTTGATGTCACTTTGGATTACAGTAAAATATGAGAACAACATGTCAATACATGTAATGTATGTTTGTTTCAGATATTTTATGTCAACCATTTTCTTGATAAAGGTTTCTTTATTTAAAAAATTATGTTTAAGAAAGTGAAGGACTAGCCTAAGCATGGCAGTCATTAGCCTCTCGATAGCTAGCAAGTATATGTATCTCCTTCTAATATGCTAGTGCCAGCCACTCAGTTTCCAGTGCCTGCTTTGAAATGGATATAGCCTACTGCGACAAGAAATAGTCACAGTTGGGTACGCAGCAGTTTTAATTTAGCATTTATTTTTGGCCTTAATACTGCGTCATAGCTTTAGACATATAAATTTAAATGTATCTTACCTGAGAATCTCCAGTTCACAGTCTGGACTCATCAGTCCACTGCACAGCAGCTTCACTCCTGAATCTTTCAGGTCGTTGTTACTCAGGTCCAGATCTCTGAGACTAGATGTTGTTGAGCTGAGCAGTGAGGACAGAGCTTCACAGCTTCTCTCTGAGAGGTTACACCCACTCAGTCTGAGAGGACAGAAGGAGTACAAATAATTATCTGATTGTTTTATTTGTTACATAGTTTTATAAAACCAACTACATCTGTACTTACACAGCTTTGCTGGAGGCTTTGACTATTGGCAGCAGCTTCAGAAAAGCTTCATCTGAAGCAGAGTATTTCTTCAGGTCAAATGTTTCCAGACCTTCATCTGATGAAAATAGCATGAAGTGCAGAGCTGACCACTGAGCAGGAGACAGCTGGTGAGCTGAAAGACTTCCTGTTTGTAGAGATTGTTGGATTTCCTCCACCAGAGACTGATCATTTAGTTCATTCAGGCAGTGGAACAGATTGATGCTTTTCTCAATACATAGATCATTATTCATCTTCTCCTTGATGTACTGGGCTGTGTCTTTATTAGTTGCTAAACTTTCTTCTGTCTGTTTCACAAGGCCTCTTAGGTGGTGCTTATTGGTCTCAAGTGAAAGACCAAGTAGGAAGCGAAGGAACAAGTCCATGTGTCCATCTGGACTCTCTAGGGCCATGTCCACAGCACTCTTGTAGATATCTGTCTCTGAAGATTCATGATTTCCTTTTTCTAATTCCTTGGATTTCATTTCGCTTTTTGCCAGCAGATTGACTCCAGATTTGATGAAAGTCAGATGAACATGAAGAGCAGCCAGAAACTCCTGAACACTCAGGTGGACGAAGCAGAACACCTTGTCCTGGTACAGCCCTCTCTCTTCTCTGAAGATCTCTGTGAAAACTCCTGAACACACTGAAGCTGCTCTGATATCGATGCCACACTCTGCCAGGTCTGATTCATAGAAGATCAGGTTCCTTTTCATCAGCTGTTCATAAGCCAGTTTTCCCAGAGACTCGATCATCTTCTGGTTCTCTGGACTCCAGTGTGAATCTGTCTCAGCTCCTCCATCGTACTTGATGACCTTCAGTTTGGTCTCAACCACCAGGAAGTGGATGTACATCTCAGTCAGGGTCTTTGGCAGATCTTCTCCATCTTTCTTGTTCAACATGTCTTCCACAACTGTAGCAGTGATCCAGCAGAAGATTGGGATGTGGCACATGATGTGGAGGCTTCTGGATTTCTTTATGTGGGAGATTACTAATCTGGCCTCCTCCTTATATCTAAACTTTTTAGTGAAGTACTCATCTTTCTTTATGTCAGTGAATCCTCTGATCTCTGTCATCATGCCAACAAACTCAGTGGGGATCCGATTGGCTGCTGCAGGTCTTGTGGTTATCCAGAGGTGAGCTTTGGGAAGCAGGTTCCCTCTGATGAGGTTTGTCAGAAGAACATCCACTGAGGTGGACTTTGTTACATCTGTCAGGATCTCATTGTTGTGGAAGTCCAGTGGAAGTCGACTCTGATCCAAGCCATCAAAGATGAACACAACCTTTAACTCTTCAAACCTGGAGATTCCTCTGGTTTCACTAAAAAAGTGGTGAACAAGCTCCACCAAGCTGAACTGTTCATCTTTTAACAGATTCAGTTCTCTGAATGTGAATGGAAACATGAACTGGATGTCCTGGTTGGTTTGGTCTTCTGCCCAGTCCAGAGTGAACTTCTGAGTCAGGACTGTTTTCCCAATGCCAGCCACTCCCTTTGTCATCACTGTTCTCACTGGTTCATCTCTTTCAGGTGAAGATTTAAATATGTCTTCATGTCTAATTGCTGTTTCTGGTCTGTCTGGTTTCCAGGACACTGATTCAATCTGTCTGACCTCATGTTCATTATTGACCTCTCCAGATCCTCCCTCTGTGATGTAGAGCTCTGTGTAGATCTGATTTAGAAAGGTTTGATTTCCTGATTTAGTGATTCCTTCAAACACACACTGGAACTTGTTCTTCATGTTAGACTTTAGTGTTTGTTGGCATGTGATGAGTGATTCTATGAAACAAAAATAGAAAAAAAATTAATTTAAGAGTGATTTTGTCATGTTTCTGTGGGGGACTGAAACACAAAGAGCAACTGGAAATGAGTTTTGAAATTTTAATATGAAAGTAAAAAACAACTTACATTTCATCAGAGGCACTATATAAACTATATTGCCAAAAATATTTGCTCACCCATCCAAATTATTTGAGTCAGGTGTTCTGATCACTTCCATGGTCACAAGTGTATAAAATGAAGCACGTAGGCATGCAGACCGATTTACAAACATTTGTGAATGAATGGGTCGCTCTCAGGATCTCAGGTAATTCCACCTTTAAACTGTGATAGGATGCTACAAATCCAGTCATTAAATTTTTTTTTCTCCTAAATATTCCACACTCAGCTGTCAGAAAACTGTAAGAAAATGTACAATGTGCTGTAAGACAATGGTATTGTTTAGGAACGACAGCAACTCAGCCACAAAGTGGTAGGCCACATAAATTAACTGAGTCAGGTCAGTGGATGCTGAAGCAAATAGCATGAAGTCGCCAAGAAGTGATTGACTTCTGCAGAGTCAATCACTACAGACCTCCAAACTTCATGTGGCTTTCAGATTAGCTATAGAACAGAGAGCTTCATATAATGGGTTTCCATGGTGGAGCAGCTGCATCCAAGATATACATCACCAAGTTAAATGCAAAGCGTTGGCTGCAGTGGTATAACACACACTGCCACTGGACTCTAGAGCAGTGGAGGCACGTTCTCTGGAGTGACAAATTGCGTTTTTTCATCTGGCAATCTGATGGATTAGTCTGGGTTTGATGATACGTGTCTGACTGTATTGTGCCAAGTGTAAAGTTTGGCGAAGTATGCTGGTATACTAACGTAACCCGAGTGTAAATGTTGAGTTCCATTTTCTGGTTCTCTACTATTTATCCCCTTTGCCTTTCAAAATCTTGGGATAGTTGATATATAACTGCAATTCTCGTGAGAATTATTAAGCAGCCAATCGTTGTTGAGTGTTTGAGTCACATGTATCACCGTCGGTCATTAGCTAGGTATACTAGCTGGAGCGAGAAGCATGGAAGATCAGAGCGAGTTTGGGAGAGCAGAGCTGCAGGTCGGTTAAGTGTAATATTCAGTTTTTTCTGTAATTTTGTATGATGCTGATAAAATTGTACTAACTTTAGGAGTCTCCTGTCGTGAGCTGAGGAATAAGAGAAACACAAAACCGATTGTATGCCTTATGAACTGTGGAAATGGTGAGTGATTCTATGAAGACTTAGCGTTAGTCGATATCAATCCGGATGCTCTATTGCGACTCTGAACAAACAAATTGGAGAACAATGAGGTGCCTTCAATATTTTATTTTATTTTTTAAAGTATTTGCCTAGCTTGATGATTTTTACATTTTTGGTGTTGATTGATTTTGTATGGAGCATATTTATTGAGTTTTTATGAATAAGATTTATCTTGAATTTTTGTATTTGGAAATACATTGATTACCAAAATGATGATTGGATTATTCATAGTGCAATGAGTGCTAATTGTTGTTTTTGTGTGCACACTGGAATGTTTTGATTATATATATTTGAGACTGGTCCTGCTTTATCATACAGGCCAGGTTCGATGGCAAGCTGAAGAATCAGGTACAAGAGCCTCAAAGGATTTCACCTGTGGTGTCATAAGATTTGGTTTCCCCACCAGGCTGGTGGGAGACTTCCTGCAGCCCATGAACAAAACTGTTCCCACTCTGATCTGACTTTTGTCAGCCTAGGAACTGCAGCAAGCGCTCTAACCAACTCACCTGACCCTGTTGAACCACCCCAGGTCAGGGGTGACGGGGGTTTTATAAACTGAATGGTGTGGCTTGTTGCCGGAACTACGGAGCTAATTTATGTTTCTTTGATTTGTTTGTTTTCTTTCTTTATTTTTTTTTTAATATGACCATTTGAATGTTGTTTTTTTCCCCTTTCTTATTGTAATGTATATATGTACATAATTATTCACTGAGAATACAAGGCACTCAAACTTCTAGTCTGTCTACTCCTTTATGAGTCGTATCTTGACTTCTGAGAACTAGCCCATTGATGACCTTGTTGGTCATGATCTATTTTCAGTTATTTAGAAATATAGTATACTGTTTACACAGATATGCTACACTAAGTTATACCAGCATACTTCTTGGACAAATCCATGCTCCCAACTTTGTGGGAACAGTTTGGAGCTGGCCCCTTCCTTTTCCAACATGTCTGTTCACCAGAGCACAAAGCAAGGTCCATACAGACATGGATGACAGTCTGGTGTGGATGAACCTGACTGGCTTGCAGAGTCCTGACCTCCACTCGATAGAACACCTTTGGGATGAATTAGAGCTAAGACTGAGAGCCAGGCCTTCTCGTCCAACATCAGTATGTGACCTCACAAATGTGCTTCTGTAAGAATGGTCAAAAATCCCCATAAAGACTCCTAATCCTTGTGGACAGCCTTCCCAGAAGAGTTGAAGCTGTCCTGGATGCAAAGGGTGAACCAACATCATATTGACCCTATGGATTAGGAATGGGATGTCATTTAAGCTCATATATGAGTGGGGGCAGGTCAGCAAATAATTTCGGCAATATAGTGTATAATATGCTTTAGAAATTCAATTTAGATAAAACTTATCGTTTAGATAACAGAATAAAGAATACAGTTTGACTATAAATACAGTAAAGAATACTTTTTTCCACAATCAGTTATCTTTTATTCCATATTTCTTAAGCCCTGGATAAACATAGAAATCAAATTTTATTCATTTCATCACTGGGTAGGAGAATTAGCCAGTTTTCCAAGGGAGATCCTGATGGGGGTTAAAACCCAGTCCAACAAAGCCTCTATGGTCTTATAGAACGGTTTTCATTATGCCTGTTTTGCTTCAACATTTGAAGGTGTGGATGTGTTTTGTAGCCTAATTAAAGTTTTTTTTTTTCACAAAATCAAATTTTCTATTTTTTGGAACGTATTAGAGTACTTTTGTATAAAACAAAAAATAAATTGTTTTGAGGAAAATGACAAAAAAAATGGCAGGATTTCATTTTAGGTTTCATCAGAATAAAGGTTAAATCTATTAAATTCTTGTAGACTTCATGTTTCTTTGAAGGTATCTATACCTGGTGTCAACTACAATAAGTCTTTAATGATCTCTTGTTCCACCATTTCTGTAGAAGAATATCTCTTACTGCTCTGCAGAAGGTCAGCCAGGTCATCCAGATTCATCATTCTCAAGAAGTCAACGGTGATCTTTAAAAACGCCTCTCTGCTGCTGCTGCTCCTCTGCTTCTCATCCTTATTTCCAGACACACCCTCCTCCTCCTCCTCATCTGGATAATCTGAACTCAAGACCTTCTGGATCTCCTTCAGCTCGTCCTTCACAAACATAACAATCTTTTTCTCCAGTTCCTAAAGCAGAATAAGTCATGAAACACCCCTCTGAAAAAGTCTGAGACAATCAAGTGATATAAAAAATGCAGTAAAAAATTAATTAACAGAAGAGATTAAAAAAGTATCTAATATATACAGACCATAAATATGGATCCCAGCCGCATTTGAGACTCATGGGGAGGCTGACCAACGTCTGGACTCTGATCGAATCTATGGAGAAATCAAGAGCTTAATATATTTATCAGATCGAGTTAAC